TTTCGGCAGGACTGGTCGAGATGGGGGTACCTGTTCCTCTTCTCCCGGTCCAGCTGTTGCTTCGGGTTCTGGCTCAGTTGCAGCCCGTTCCCACGAGAGCAGTCCTTATGGTTCCTTGGTGGCCGGCCCAGCCTTATTTTCATACGCTGCTTGATAGGTGTCCAAACCCGGGGCGTTTTTCCAGCGGCTTCACCTCTTTCGGCAGGTCGAATCGGTCCTGTACGTGACTGGTTCGGCCTTCTCCTCGGCTCTTCGTGTCTGGTATTGACGCGGGTATCACCATCTCTATGGTGTTCGGGTGGCTTTGTTGATGGTGTCCCATCTGCGAGCTTCGTCTTGGTGACTGTATGACGTTTCGTACACTTTCTCGTGTTTTGTTTCATCTCCGGTCTGCTCATGCGTCGCCTGAGCCGTCCTGGTCCTTGTTCAGAGTGCCTTCTTATCTTCTCCTCAGTTTGTGGTAGCCCCTTCGGTTCAGGTTTCTGCTCTTTGGTACTGGTGGTAGATTTGTACGTGTGCAGCCTTTCTCCGTCCTGGCGACGGTCGAGACGGCAGCTTTCCGGAGAGGTTCTTGGGATATTGATGCTTGTTTGGTTTGGCCGAAGGTGCGCCCTGTGTTGTCCAATTGTGCTTTTTGCCGTTGCCGGTATACAGTGTGGGGATGCGCTGTGGTTGATCCGGTTCCCCCTCGTTCCCTGTTTTCAGGGCTCGGGTCTCCCAGGTATTCCGCAGAGTTTTTCATTCTTCCAGCCTGCGGTCTGTCTTTGCGCCCGTGCTGTTCTGACGTTTGCAGCTTTTGCTGCTGTGTTGGCGACGTCTAGGGCTCATTTCGGGCGCAGGGATTTGATGGTTGCACAGGTTCTTGGCCGCCCATTCCTTCTGCGCATCTGTTCCTGTGCGTTCTTGTTGCCTTGGGTTGTAGGTTGCGACCTGTTGTCTCAGCTTTGCGTTGCAGAGTTTGTGGCGGCCGCCTCCCGGGTTAGCCCTTTCTTTTCCTTCTCTTTGGGTATGAAGCTCCAGGGAGCCATAGGGGCTCCCCACAGAAAACCAGCGTTGAATGTAATGAAACGCCATTTTCTGGGTGAGCCCCGGAGGCTCCCTGGCAACCCTCCCTCCCTCCGGTCGGCGGTTTTTTCGTGTTGGTTGAAGCTTAGCTTCCGAACTGAAGCTTGGCAGCCGGCGCGGTAGGTCCGGGGCTTCCCCCTCCCCCTCTCGGGGCGGGGAGGGCTACGCGGACGATCAGCGCGGCAGTAAAGTGTGATGTTTGCTTGTTTCTACTTGTAGGTAGGGTAGTAGCTTGTAGGGAGTTTCTACCTCTGTTCGGTTTTTTGTTTTAGTTTTTTACCATGTGGGGTTTGTTTTGTTATGCCTACCTTTCTGGGTGCCTAACCCCGGTCGATGGCAGATAAGGAAAACCCCAATCACAAAGGGGTTTTCCAGGGCCATTGCTCCCTGAAACCTCTCTGAAGGGGCCAGGTTCTGGCGCTAGTCCCTGGTAGGTCTGAACTCCTTAGCTAATGTCCCGGTCTAACATAACATACATTAGCCCGATAAGCTCCAGGGAGCCTCCGGGTCTCACCCAGAAAATGGCGTTTCATTACATTCAACGCTGGTTTTTTTGCCAGACTTCCCCGACCTATTGCTGCCAAAATATGCCACTTTAGATTTTTTTATTATTTTTCCCGTGATTGGGGAACACAAATTAACAGGTTAAGAGAATTTTTTTTTTTTTTTTTTTTTTTTTTTTTTTTTTTTTTTTTTTTTTTGTTATGCACCTGTGGGTGACAAAGGCCAAATAGCAACTCAAGGGTTAATGAAAGTCCACCACCACTTCATCTGAAATGTTCACAGAAAACACTCCTCAAAACAAAAACAAAAACAAAAATAGAAATGGCAATTTGAATATAACAATCATACCCTCAATTGAAAAATGCAGGGTTTGAAACTGCAGTGTCAACAGACACTCTGCCAAACCATAGAGCATAGGTTACACCTGAACTCAGTGGAGGGTCACAACCACCCAACTTACAGAGTTCAGATATAAAACAAGATCTTCCAAGCATTGGATTTGGAAATGCACATCGACTTTACCTTTCAGTTCATCCATCAAGTACTTCAGGCAGAGTATATGCTAACAGTCCCCTGAACTTACCTGATCAGTGACATTATGTGTTTTGACTTTAGCTAAGCTTTTGATACTCTGCCTTATAAAGGACTGAAGAGAAAGGCAGATGTGCATAGTATAGTATTGGGGGGTGAGGGGTTATCTCAGGTTGGATTAAGGCGTGGGTTATTTCAAAGGCATCATGAGCTCTCTCCTGGAACCCCTGTTGTTTACCATTTATTTAAGCAAAGTAGACAAAATTAAAGAGCAGTATCAGTAAATTCAAAATTCATACAAAAGAGGGTGGGAAATAGATTTAGGCATTACATAGGCATTTAAAACAGTTTAAAGATTAGCAGATGCAACTCAATGCTGACAAATGAAGGGTTCTAAGCCTGGGAAATGTTAGTAGTCTACCAGATATCAACTGAGCAATATTGAAATTTCCAGATCTGCAAGCAGAAATCTTGCTTTGAATGTAATGAAATGCTACTTCCTGTAGGAGCTACAGTGGCTCCCTAAGGCTATCTTGCTGAGATTGATCCATACTAAAAGGTCACATCAGTTGCATAAGTTCCATTTGGCTTATCAGGAACCAGAGCCAGAACCTGGCATCCCTTCACAGAGGCACAGGGGGCGGGTGACACTCTGGCATCCTGTGGCATTTATTTATTTATCGGGTATTTATTTATTTATATACAAGAAGGTACATAGGTACATTGGGTTTGTGAGAGCACATAATGTTGGTGTTCTGTAAACATCATCAGACTCATGTTGTTTACAAACTGTAACTGGTTGCTGCCACAACTGTGAATGCCTAACGGCCTTCGACTGGTGATGACTGATTGTGACTTGTGACTGAACACCGCTAGAATCCACTCTATAAGTTATCTTGCTTATTGGGACCGATTAAAAGTTCTAAATCTGTATTCTCTAGAGATACATAATAATCTACACGTGGAAGATATTAGAGTGACTAGTTCCAAATCTGAACATGGATTTATACATGTTCATGAAATTACATGACATGAAACCCGTAGGCATGGCAGGATGTACAAAATACCCCCATTGAAAAGCAGAGGTGCAATAGGTACTCTGAGAGAGAACTCCATCAACATCAAGGGCCCAAGACTTTTCATACACATAAAGTGCATATTTGGCCAGCCTTTTACAGTGTTCAAGAAAGACTTCGACAAACCCCTCTGAAGAATACCTGATCAACCAGGCTCTGAATCCTACATTAGGCAGCGAGCAGCTGCATCCAATAGCCTAGATGACCTACCGTGGGGCTGTTGATCCCTGGAAGCTACACAAGGTAGGTAGGTATGAGGAGGCCTGGTCGAGGACCAGGACGCTAAGCCCCGAAATCATCAATCATCGCAAGGTATGCCTGACTCACTTGTGATTGTGAATGCTGGCCTAACTGTGATTTGACCATGGCTGCCTCTGACTGGTTGTGACTAACTGTAACTAGCTATGACTAGATGCTGCATAACAGAGGCAATGAAATCTGTGAAGGGAAAATGTAACAGCTGGTCTAGCAAGGGCAAAGTTGTCGCAACAAACACAATAGTGACCTCCAGTTTAATGCAAACTGGACTCTGTAAACTCAATACCATATTCTGAACTTAACTGACAATTACTCTGTAAATAAGATGCCAGTTAACAATCTAAAATTCGGTCATTAGAATCGGCGGAACGGTAAATCCGAGGTCCCTAAATTTCTCTGTGGGTGGTTAGCTTCAGGGAGCCGACGGGGCTTCCCACCGAAAACCAGTGTTGAATGTAATGAAACGGCATTTTCTGGTTGAGCCCCGGAGGCTCCGTGACACCCTTCCTTTCCCAGATCAGTGGTGTGTTTCTCAGTACAGAACTGAAGCCAGTCGGCACGGGGAGTCTGGGCCTGCTCCCACCTTCCCCCAGCGAGGGGAAGAGGTGGAGTTAACTAGCAGGGGGGCTAGTTTCACTAAGTTTTCGTTGTTTCTTTTATTATTGGGAGAGAGTTTTTGGCATTTTGTGTGCTTTGGTCACATTTTTAAGCGAGGCAGTGTTTTGTTTTGATTCACCTATCTTTCTGGGTGCCCTCCCTGATGATGGCAAAGATGATATCCTTTAAATGTAAAGTGATATTAGACAACCCCTCTCTGCACCTCTTTGAGGGGGGCCAGGGAGGTGCATGGTTCCCAGTAAGCAAAAAGAACTCTGCAACTGATGACACCTAGTAGTATAGCACATAATTAGTGATAATAGCTTCAGGGAGCCTCCGGGGCTCACCTAGAAACTGGCATTTCTTTACATTCAATGCAGGTTTTATCTTTATGTATCCTTATCCACAACCATTTTATGTTATAAGTGCTGGGCAGTAAATAATGCATATGTTTTCTCAATCAGATATTATTTCACAAAATGAAACAAATGGAAAAAATGCCATCTTTGTTGAATACGAAGCTATATTTCAGTATCGTGTTTGCTCATTAGTGATCATTTTCCACCTGCAAGCAAGGCCACAATCCTAGCATACCTTGTACTGGTTCCGAAGATCATTGGCCCCACAAGCCATTTGAAATTCTTTTCCATCTTCTGGAGCTTGTCATGCAACTCCCTCAAAATGCTGTTATTATAGTCCAACCTTTAGTTGGGCACCTTGAAATATAAGAATTTTCTCTTGTGAGTAATTTAGTCAATAGTACGTGGATATTATAATTAAAAATGAGTGCCTTGGCTCATTGTCATGAATAAAGTATTCACTAAAAAGGGATAAAATCACTTAAAAATTAATTTTTGTTTTATATATTTTGCACATAGCATGTATGATTTATTGTCATTGCATAATTTTCAAACAATTGCACATTATTAGTTAGCATGTATAATTGCAAGAGTCTACTTATTTTACCAGATGGTGTGTTTCCGAGAATATTGGGACGAGGTCGTCCTGCGTCAACTGCGACAAGCCCTTGCAAAATGTTATGCTGTAGCATATGAAAACTCTGCAGCTGTATCCGAGGCAAACATAACGCCACACACACTCTCATTTGTTAAAAAGCTTGTTTCAACATTTGGCATTGGCATTGGTAAGTTTGTAGGCATGAGATTTGTAATGAAGTCCAGTAGTAGCCTTCAGCTTAAAAGATGTATGTACTCAGCTAAAGAATTGAAACTGCATCTATTAATCATTTATTTAATATGTGAACAAATATTTGAATTAGCACGAGTAAAAAAGGGTTAGCGTAAGTGTCATGATTATACATACAGTATTATAATAGTATATGTTTAATGCTGCATTTGAAATTGGACATTTTTTTTTTAAATTTCATGGTCCAACAGAAAATATCAGCAGCTCTGTAAGTGGTGGAGGACAATATGCAAGTGCTGCTTCTGAATCCTTAGCCAGGCGTGCCCAGGCAACCGTGCAGGACCCAGTGTTCCACAAGATGAAGGGGCAGTTCACAACAGATTTTGATTTCTCACAGTTAGGAGCTATGAAACTGCACAATCTTATTCATAAACTCAAGAAATGGATCAAGATTTTGGAAGCAAGAGTAAAGCTTCTTCCCAAGTAAGTAGTACAGATCTTGGCATTTTGTGAATTACTATAGCTTTTGTCTTCCAATGATTATGATTATCCAAATGAAATAGAAAGGCAGCATACCCTAAACACAGAAATAATACAAAATGACTTATCAATGGAAAATATAAATATATATAGGAGAGCTACTAATATATTTTTAAATAACAGCATGAGTCAAATTAGAGCACCTCATATCTTATCCAAGTTAATGAGAGGTCCATTCTTCCAGATACTTCACATTTATTTACATTTTATTCATGTCGAGTGTTTCCGAATGTTGAGTTTCTTCACAATCGGGCACGGTCACATAGTCCTTTCCTTTAACATTAAATCATAGTCATATATTCTTTTCTTTTAGTAATCATGCGGGGTCATGCATTCCTTTTTTCTTTCTTCACAATCATGTTCATGTATTAACTCTTTACACTCAAGGATAATCATGTATTTTTCTCTTGTCACAATCAAGATTGGTCATGTATTCTTCTTTATTCATAATCAAGAATGGTCATGTATTTATGTCTCTCTCACAATCAAGAACGGTTATATGTTCTTATCCTTTCACAATTAAGCATTGTTATGTATCTTATCCCTCTTCGCAATCAGGAGTCACATAGGGTAAGATTGGTTATGCATTCTTCTTTATTCAAAATCAAGACTGGGCATGTATTCCTCTCTCTTTCACAATCAAGAATGGTTATATGTTCTTATCCTTTCACAATCAAGCATTGTTATGTATTATTCTCTTTGCACACAGGAGTCACATATTCTTCTCTTCACAATCAAGCAGTTTGTATTCTTCTCTCTTCACATTCAAGAATGAAAATGATCATGTATTCTTTTCTTTTTCACAATTTAGAATGGTCATGTGTTCTTCCATCAACACAATCAAGGATGGTCGTGTATTCCATTTTGGCATATTTATTGGTATTCAATTTACATTTAGTTCATTGATTTGAATTTCTTATCTGTTGATAACCATTTGATTAAAAAGGTTTTGTTAAAATCCATTTCATTAAAAAGTTAATGCATGCCAGGGGTTCGAGTTCGGCGCCGCCTTCAGTCCCGCCTTCGTCTGGTTGGCACAGTGTTCGTTCTGTGCGAGGTTCTGGGTCTCGTAAGGGGCACTGGCCCTTTCACGGATAGGGGGGAGGCTTGCGCTGTTTGCTCACGCTTGGTCCCAGGATTTGTGGGCGTTTCGGGTCGTTTCTCTTGGCCTGCGGTGGCGTTGGGTGGCCCCTCCTCCTTCGGGAGGTTCGGGGCTAGCGGGGCAGGCCTCTTTCCCTGCGCTCTGTCGAGTCGTCTTGGAGTCGGTTCACTTGGGCGTGGTCGAAACGACGACGTCCCTCAGAAAGGTTTCCCGTCTGTTTCCAGTACCGAAACGGGACTGTGCGAACCTGCGGTTCATTCTGGACTTGTCCCGTCTGAACCCCCTGGGTTCATTGCCCCTCCTTTTAGATGACTACACTATCCCAGGTTTACCTCCTGTTGGAGTTGGGCGCTTGGATGGTGTCCCTGGACCTCCTGGACGCTTATTGGTACGTCCCGATTCATCCGGGGTTCAGGGACTGGTTCTGGTTTGTTGTGGGACATCAGGGTTACCGCTTTCGTTGTTTCCCATTCAGGTTGAACCTGGCACCTTGCGTATTCACATGTCTTACACAGGTCGATGTGGCCCGTCTGCGTCTCTTAGGTGTTCGGGGAGTTGGCCTACCTCGACGACTGGCTGGTTTGGGCTCCCAGCTCGCCGGGTTCGGGTTCTTGGTGAACTGGAGGAAGTCCTATCTGGTTCCCTCTCAGGTTCAGACATGGCTGGGTCTTGTGTGGGACTCAGACCGTTTCCTTGTCTCTTCCTCCGGAGTCTCTCCTGCAGTCCCGTCCTGTGGAAACAGGTCCTTGCGCCTGTTTCTGGGGGGCTCCCGGGTCGAGGGTCTGTGCATGAGCCTGAACTTGCTCGAGGGTCTGTGCATGAGCCTGAACTTCGCGATGCTAGTCTACCCGCCGAGTCGGGTTTGGCTTCGTCGGCTCTTCTGGTTCCTTCGGGGACATCCCTTCCCCCTCTCTCACGATCGCTGGGTTCGGACCCCTGGAGCCTTGCGTCGGCTGCTGCGTCGCTGGCTTCCTCTTCAGGTTTTTCGGGGTTCAGTGCCTTAGTGCCTACCCGAACCCCTCGCTCGATGTGTTTACGGACAAGTCATCTCTCGGCTGGGGCTTTGTGGACCAGTGCTCACCAGGCAGGCCAGGGACGGTGGGCTTCTGTTGAGCCCACAGCACTGTGCGGGAGTTTGCGGTGGTGTGGTTTGCTCTTCGGAGGATTCGGGTCTCTTGCTGATCGACGATCCAGCTCCATTCGGACTGCTCCCTGGTGGTTCATTGTCTGAATCGGAGGGGGGGGGGGGTTCGATGCGGTCCTTGGCTCTTTGGCGCTGGTCGCTTTGGGTGACTCATCTGCTAAGTTCTCGGGGTTTGGCTCTCCTGGCAGTTCACGTGCGGGGAGTGTCCAGTGTATTAGCCAACAGCCTGTCTCATTTCGTTCCCCCCTCACCACGGAATGGACGGTCGACGCCGACTCCTTCAGTTGGCTTTGCCAGACATTTGGTCGCCCCGAGGTGGACCTCCCCTGTATGTGGCGTTCTTCCTCGACTGCGAGGCAGTCGGGGTGCAGGATTGGTCGAGGAGGTTCCTGTACGTCTTTTTCCCGGTTCAGCTGTTGCTCCAGGTCCTGACTCGCTTGGAAACTTACCACGGGAGAGTTATCCTCTGGGCTCCATGGTGGCCGACCCAGCCGCGGTTTCAGGTGCTGCTTGCTCGGTGTCTGAACCCGGAGGTTTTCCTGCGACTCCGCGTCTTCCAGCAGATCGGACTGGAACGTCACGTGGCTGGTTCTATCTTCTCCTCGAGTCTTTGCGTATGGTATTTTTGACTCGAGTTTATCATCATCTCTATGGTGATCAGGTGGCTTCCTTTTTAGTGTATGGAGCTCCCCCCTTCCCCCTCCCAGGGTGGGGGAGCTGCGCAGACAGCGGCGCGGCTACGTAATTACCTAAGTGTAGTTACAGGATGAGAGCTACGCTCGTGGTGTCCCGTCTTCCCAGCACTCTTTGTCATATAACGCTTTGAAACTACTGACGGTCTTGGCCTCTACCACCTTCTCACCTAACTTGTTCCAATCGTCTACCATTCTGTTTGCGAAAGTGAATTTTCTTATATTTCTTCGGCATCTGTGTTTAGCTAGTTTATATCTATGACCTCTTGTTCTTAAAGTTCCAGGTCTCAGGAAATCTTCCCTATCGATTTTATCAATTCCTGTTACTATTTTATATGTAGTGATCATATCACCTTCTTTTCTTCTGTCTTCTAGTTTTGGCATATTTAATGCCTCTAACCTCTCCTCGTAGCTCTTGCCCTTCAGTTCTGGGAGCCACTTAGTAGCATGTCTTTGCACCTTTTCCAGTTGGTTGATGTGCTTCTTAAGATATGGGCACCACACAACCGCTGCATATTCTAGCTTTGGCCTAACAAAAGTCGTGAACAATTTCTTTAGTATATCGCCATCCATGTATTTAAAAGCAATTCTGAAGTTAGAAAGCGTGGCATAGGCTCCTCGCACAATATTCTTTATGTGGTCCTCAGGTGATAGTTTTCTATCTAGAACTACCCCTAGATCTCTTTCTTTATCAGAATTCTTTAAAGATTTCTCACATAATATATAGGTTGTGTGGGGTCTATGTTCTCCTATTCCACATTCCAAAACATGGCATTTATTAACATTAAATTCCATTTGCCAAGTGGTGCTCCATATACTTATTTTGTCCGGGTCATCTTGAAGGGCATGACAATCATCTAAGTTTCTTATCCTTCCTATTATCTTAGCATCATCAGCAAACATGTTCATATAATTCTGTATACCAACTGGTAGATCATTTATGTAGACAATAAACATCACTGGTGCAAGAACTGAACCCTGTGGTACTCCACTTGTGACATTTCTCCAGTCCGATACATTGCCTCTGATCACAGCCCTCATTTTTCTATCAGTCAGAAAATTTTTCATCCTTGTTAGAAGCGTACCTGTCACCCCTTCAATATTTTCCAGTTTCCAGAACAACCTCTTATGTGGAACTCTGTCAAAAGCCTTTTTTAGGTCCAGATAGATGCAGTCAACCCAACCATCTCTTTCCTGTAATATCTCTGTTGCTCAATCATAGAAACTGAGTAAATTTGATACACAGGATCTTCCAGATCGAAAACCATACTGTCTGTCTGATATTATATCATTTCTCTCCAGGTGTTCTACCCATTTAGTTTTAATTATTGTTTCCAATATTTTGACTATTACACTTGTCAATGATACCGGTCTATAATGAAGGGGGTCTTCCCTGCTTCCACTTTTGTAGATTGGAACTGTGTTAGCCTTTTTCCACACATCAGCTACAACTCCTGTAAACAGGGATGCCTGAAAAATCAGTTGAAGAGGAATGCTGAGCTCAGGTGCACATTCTCTCAGAACCCATGGTGAAACTCCATCTGGACCAACTGCCTTGTTCTTATTTAGCTCCTTGAGCATTTTTTCCACTTCGTCTCTAGACACCTCTATGTGCTCTATGTTGTTCTCTGGAATTCTTATTGTATCTGGTTCCCTGAAGATTTCATTTTGTACAAACACACTTTGGAACTTTTCGTTTAATGTTTCACACATTTCCTTTTCATTTTCTGTGAATCTATTTCCCATTTTCAACCTCTGTATATCATCCTTTACCTGCAATTTGTTGTTTATGAATTTATAGAATAGACCTAGTTCTGTTTTACATTTGTCTGCAATCCCTTTTTCAAAATTTCTTTCTGCCTCTCTCCTCACTGCCGTGTAGTTGTTTCTCGCATCTTTGTATCGCTGGTATGTTTGGGAGTTTGGCCTCTTCCTGTATTGATTCCATTTTTGTGTCTTTTGGTCTCTGGCCCTCTTGCACTTTCTGTTGAACCAATCCTGTTTCCTAGTTCTGCTTCTCTGTTTTGGTATAAATTTTTTTGTGCCTTCATCATATATTTCACAAAACTTGACATACATCTCATTCACTTCCTTGCCTAGCAACAAGTCTGTCCAATTATACCCACTAAAAAAATTTCTAAGGTTGCCATAATGTCCTCTCCTAAAGTCAAGTTTTTCAATTGCATCAACCTTCATATTTTCTTCCAGATTATAACGCATTGCATACTTTATTCCCAAAAAGACATGGTCACTTTCACCCAAGGGAGGAAGGTACTGAATGTCAAATATTTCTTCCTCCTTCCTGGTAAATATCAAATCTAGCATGGAGGGAACGTCCCCTTCCCTCATCCTCGTAGCTTGTTTAACATGTTGATACAAGAATGTTTCCAGGATGAGGTCTACAAATTTACAGGTCCAGAAATCTTCTGTTTTAGCTTCATCTGCTTCCCAGTCTATGGCTTTCAAGTTGAAGTCGCCGACTATCAACAGTTGTGAACTATCGTTTTCCGCTCTCGCTATGATCTCTCTCATTATTGTTATAAGACCTTCTCTTTTACTATCTAGCTCCTCCTTTGACCATGTGCTGCTTAGCGGTGGACTGTATGCATTTATGATCATTAGTTTATCATCCTCATGGCAGATCTCTAGTTCTATTATGTCAACTTCTTGTGGATTGGCAGTCATTATTTTGTTCACCTTTAGGTGTTCTTTCACCAGCACAGCAATGTCACCGCCTTTCCTAATTTTTCTGTCCCGTCTCCAAATTGAGTAGCCCCTTGGGAATATGACTTCATTTAAAATAACATCTTCAAGTTTTGTCTCCGTGAGTGCAACAATGTCTGGTGTCTGCAGCTGTATTACATCACTTAACTCCAGTATCTTCGATCTAACTCCATCTATGTTGGTGTATGCAATCTTCAGGAACTTGTTCCCCTCTTCTTATTTTTCACTCCCCCCCCCCCTCTCTAATGATTTTGTTGGTTTGCCTTTATGTACCACTTTACTGGTCTGCCTACCCCTATCGCTTTGTAGAAAAAAGAATTGATTCCTTCTTCATTCCTGCTCTCATTTAAACGTTTTGCCTCGGCGAGGTTCAGTTTCAGCTTCTCTCTATCTTCTTTTGAAAGATCTCGTCTTAACGTCTTAACGTGTGACGTTATGCTCGTTTGCTCATTTCTTTTACGGGGGGTTCTATCCACTTGTTCAGCTTTTGGTAGCAATATTTTCACCAGAATAGGGGTTTGTTTTGGGATGCTTAACTTTCTGGGTGCCTGACCCAGTCGATGGCAGACAGAATGCTTCCAACCACACGGGGGTTTGTATAGGCCATTGCTTCCCATGCCTCTCTGAGGGGGGGCCAGGTTCTGGCTCGTGATTCCCGGTAGGCCCACAGAACTCCATACACATGACTGATGCCAAAGTCTGACATTAGTATATCCGCCTAGAAAGCTCCAGAGAGCCTCCGGGTCTCGCCCAGAAAATGGCATTTCATTACATTCAACACTGTTTTTTTGCTGGCTCTTGTTTCTTATTGTTGAGTTGGTGAGCTTCATGCTCTTCTCCAGAGGTGGGGATTCTGCTCTTCTGGCCCTGGTGGGTATTTTCATTGTCTTCAGGCATCTTCATCTCCCCCACCACAAAACTCAGCATCTTTCTGGTAGAGCCCCGTTGGCTCATTGACTCTCTCTCCCTTCCTTCCAGACCGTTGGTTCATTGGGGTGTTTTATCTGCTTCAGAACTGAGTAGTGAGCTGAGATAGGACCGAGCCCTGGGCTGCCTAGTAGTGGCATTCTCTATTAACAAGTTCTAGCCCATTTCAAGTGCATTATATTGTGGGATTGAATCATTTGGGAGTTGTTTGGTAGTTTCAAGGCTTCAAGTCTTACAAACCCAGTAAGGCTTCGCTGACTTTCTGTATACTTTCCCAGTGACATGGCGAAATGTCATTTGCTCTCTTCGCCTCTGTGAGGGGGCCAAGTTCTGATCCCCACTATGCCAAACAGAACTCGTGTGACTGATGTGACTTGGAGTATGGAGCAGTCTCGGCAAGATAGCTACTGGGAGCCACCAGGGCTCTACCAGACAGAGGCATTTCATTACATTCAATGCTTGATATGCACAACAGGCTGTACATTGGCAACCGACTAGGAAGGGAGGTGACCATACCCTACAATACGGTACTCTCATATACATACTGTAATGGTGCAAGTTGGAAACTTGGATCAGCCAAAAAATTAAAAAAAATGCTTGTATGCAGTGAAAGTGGAATTAGCTGAAATCCGAGGTGGTGGGACTCGCTGTCATTAACAGTTTGATTCAAGAGTAAATATGACATAATAAATGCACTAGATTAATGAGAGATCACGAGAGATCATTAGAGGCAAGGTTTTCTAACTGGATGTTATGCTTTGTAGACACAGCTGTGTAAGTGCTCTTCCCACATTTCTATTCATACACCCATTCTCCCACCAACCAATCTATTTCTCTGATCAAAATTTCTTAGTATTTGGAGTTTAGCCCATCCACACTTCACCTGCTATTGTAGCTGCCATTAAAAAAAAAATGCTTGATAGTCATGGAAAAGGCATCTACAGTAGCAAGGGAAGGGAATGCTAAGCCTCTTAATACTGTGAGGTTTCAGTTTCAGAATTATAAATTGGCTGGTGGGAGTACTGTATGGGTAGTCTTCCATCACCTCTCTCTCTCTTGTTCCATTGTTAACATTATGGTTGAAGACTTTAGAATTGTGATCTTTTCCTGAGCTGCAGCCAAATTAGGTTGGAAAAATTGTGTATTGCGAGGACCACCCATGGCACACCAGGGGCCAGATTCACGAAAGCACTTATGCAAGTACTTACGAACCTGTACATCTTTTCTCAATCTTAGGCGGCTTTGTTTCCACTTATTAAACCGTTAATGAGCTCCGAAGCACCAGGAGGCTGTTTATAACAATAACAACAGTTGATTGGCAAGTTTTCATGCTTGTTAACTGTTTAATAAATGTAATCAAAGCCGTCAAAGATTGAGGAAAGATGTACACTTGCGTAAGTGCTTTCGTGAATCTGGCCCCAGGTCCTCTCAGAACCTGAATTTCTTTTGTTTTGAGGTTGCCATGTTAGCCATTAATATATCATGAATTGCTCAACAGGAAAATGTGCACAGTACACTATACTAATGCATCTAAAAGCAGCTCCTGAAATGGAGTCATATTATTTGTCAGATCAAGTTATGAACTGTTATTTCATATTTAAGTTATTTAAAATTGCCAGTTTTCAATTCAATTTTTATTCTTTGAAGGTGGTTCCTAATTGAGGAAAAGTGCCGTTATCTCAGCAACTTCAGTCTGCAAACTGCAGAGGTTGAACTTCCTGGAGAGTTCCTGTTACCAAAGGCAAGTGCTTGCAATATTGGCTAAAGTAAAACTTACCATGAAAAACTGTATAACCAAAGCAGATGATTACAAATGTCAAACAGTGAGGTGAGCTTCCCAAAAATAAAGTGGTAAGAGTAGGACCAGTAATTGGTTTTGCACTTATCACTTAGGGTAGAGCTCCCTATGCGCTTAATGCTGATAAGACCTGATGCTATAGAAATCTTAATATTTTGCATGGAATGAGCTCCAATATTGGTCTTGTGTAGTTGTAGTATTGTGAATGATTCCTTGTTGACATTCCTTAGGTTAACCTTGCACCTTCAGTCGTTGATCTTGCACGTCTTCAATGCTTCACTTGACAGGCAGTTTGTCTGTGCCCCTTTTATGTATTTTTGATTACCTATGATTTACCTGTGCACTTACAGATGTAGGACTATGTTTGTAGTGTCCCATCATCTTTATATATTTTGTCATTAATAATGTTGAAGCTTCCATCACCTGGAGTTTGTTACAATTACATCCATCTCGCTTAGTAAAGAAATAAATCCTTCAATACTTTCTGTGCCTTCTATACTATCTATCTGAAGAGACGAACAGTGGTTGCCTATTGTTATCATAACAAAATCGTACAGGGAGGGAGATAGGAAAACCCCTCCCCCCTGTAACAACAAGCCCCGTGCCAAGTGTACCAAACACCCAAGCAGAGACAATATGGGCCCAAGCTCCCCCAAGTCAACTCCTTCCCAGCCCTGGAATCCTACACATCAGGAACCGGGGCTGAACCGTCCTCCAAACCCTCTGCCTCAGGAGAAAAAGCAGAGTCCACTGGAAAAGTAGGGATGAAGGGGACCCACTGGCACGGCCCAAAAGCTCTGGCAGAAGGAACAGGCTCGAATGCCTCTGCCGCCGATCCGGAAGGGGCAGTCCCCAAACCGTCCGAGTCTCACTTCCAGTATAATCACAGCAGGGCAGCTGTGGGGCATCCAGAAAGGCAACCAACCTCGCACATTGCTGCAACCTAAACCTCGCATGCAACGCTAAAGCTGCCTGCACCCAATTATCAGTCTCAGTGGACTGGGTGAATGGAGTACAAGCAAAGAACACCACTTGCAGGACTCTGGGTCATAGGTGTCACTGACCCCAACAAGCAGCATGGCGGAGGCAGACGGTGAGTGTCACCCTGAGACAAGGAGACAGAGTAACCTTCAAACTCGCACCAGACGAGGTGGGACTCAGAGGTCTCCTCCACTGGACCACTGAGCCCCAATGGGGGTTTCCAGGGCCCTTAGGCTGACTGCTAAGGGAAGCCCAGGGGAGGTACTGCTAACTGGTTATCCCAGAGCTACCAAGCCAACAAACTAAAAGCTGAACCCCTGCGACGTGTGCAAGCACGGGGACCTAGTGGAGGACCACCAAAATCCTACAAGTGGACCTACTACAACACACGGCAGACCCCCTCCAGGCAATTCAAAACAAAAACAAATGAAAACCCCGCAAAAGCACAACATCTCCAGGTGAACAGAACCAGTCGCTATGCATATTTAAGACAGCAACACAGTACCTTGCGCCCCAGCCAGCAACGAAACTACCACCTACACAAGGGCAAACAGGAGTAAAAACCACCCCAGCTTGAACCCCAAGGGCAGGCAATCACCTAGCAGCGACAGAACCATGCAGAGAAAGTTCCCGAACGGCTCTGGGAAGATTACCCTGAGGCCGCAGGGGCAGCACTTATGGGGCACCTACCTAGCCCTAGGCTCATGCAACCCCAGTACTCTTGGGTTACTCCTGGCTCACACACCACCAAAACAGAGCAACAACACTGCTAAGCAGCACTGCGCAAAGAGTGGAGCCAGAGTGATCGACCATTCACCATCACAACAGCCTGTGAACTGGGGAAGAGTTGCCGGTGTGGAGGTCTGAGACCTCCCCGTCCCCCTCCCGGGTAGGGGAGGTTGCGCAGACGGATGCACGGCGGTTGTGGTGACGTCATGTTTGTTTTCTTGTTTTTGATTGGGGAGGTCTGTTTGCTAGTTCGGCTTTCGGTTTACAATTTTTGACCAGCAGTAGTTTGTTTTGGAATTCCTACCTTTCTGGGTGCCTGACCTGGTAGATGACAGACAAAGACTGCTTCCAATTACACAGGGGTGTCTTTAGGCCATTGATCCTCGTGGCTCTCTTGAGGGGGGCCAGGTTCTGGCTCTGGTCCCCGGTAGGCTTAGAACTTCTTTGATTGACTGTTGCCATGGTCTAATATATACACATTAGCTCGGTATAGCTCCTGGGAGACAAAGGGGCTCTCCACAGAAATGAGAGGTTGGATAACAAGAACCTTTTACACTAAGAGATATTATACCGATGATGATACTTTTCAAGATGCTAGTGCTCTCTAGAGTGGAATACTGTTGCATAATGACAGCCCCTTTCAAAGCTGAATAAACTGCTGACCTGGAGAGCACGCAGAACTTTACTGCTAGAATCCACTCAGTAAAATATCTAAATTATTGGGACCGACTAAAATGCCTAAATCTGTATTCTCTTGAGCGCAGGCGGGAGAGATACATAATAATTTACACGTGGAAAATAGTAGAGGGGCTGGTCCCAAACCTGCTCACAGAAATAACACCACATGAGACCAGAAGACATAGCAGGATGTGCACAATACCCCCGTTGAAAAGCAGAGATGCAATAGGTACTCTGAGAAAGAACTCTATCAACATCAGAGGCCCGAGACTGCTCAACACGCTTCCACTACACACAAGGGGCATAACTGGCTGACCCCTCAGTGTTCAAGAGAGAACTTGACAAGCCCCTCCAAGAATTATTTGGTGAACCAGGCTGTGAATCGTACTTCAGGCTGCGAGCAGCCGCGTCCAACATCCACATTCAACAGCCTGGTTGACCAGTCCAGCAACGAGGAGGCCTGGTCGACGACCGGGCCACGGGGACACAAAGCCCCGAAATCATCTCAAGGTGACCATCACCAACCATCTTCCCTACTCACTATCCTCATCACTAACCATCTTCCCTACTCACTATCCTCATCATTAACCATCTTCCCTACTCACTATCCTCATCACTAACCATCTTCCCTACTCACTATCCTCATCACTAACCATCTTCCCTACTCACTATCCTCATCACTAACCATCTTCCCTATTCACTGCCTTTATCACCCTAACCTGAATTAATTCTGTTCATCGTTTCTGGGAGGAGCCCACTCGGCTCCCTGAAGTTATAATACTGATTAAGTGCCATACAACTTGGAGTCATCAGTCGCAGAGTTCTTGTTGCCTACCGGGAATCACGAGCCAGAACCAGGTTCCCTCAGAGAGGTCCAGGAGCAATGGTCCATGAATAATTTACATTTAAATTTATCAACTTGCCACCAACCAGGGAAGCACCGAGGATGGTAGGGGAATCAAAACAGACTACTGCATATTTGAAAATTGAGACCTGCACCCTAGAAATATCAACAAGAAAACATACAACGAAAACTTTGTCAAACCAGCCCTCTGCTAGTTAGCTCCATCTCCATCTCGTTGGAAGGAGGGGGGGAGCCGGGGCGATATTGGTCAGTTCTTGGCTGATGTTTGTGCCCGACAGTCATTGGAACACTCTGGCTTCAATCTCACTTTTCGGTGGTGTTCCCCTGTGACATGGGTCTTGTGTGTGCTGCATGCTCAGGTGCCCTTTCTTTCAGCTGCCTTGGTGTCTGATGACCTTTAGACTCGTATGCACTTGGCATCTGTTGTGTGTTTCTTAAGTGTCCTGGAGCTGTCTTCAGATTGACTTTCAGAGTATGTAGAAGATGGACACTCTTGTCCGGGGGGGTGTATCTATTGTCCTGGCGGACGGCCTGTCTCAGTTCTATTCACAGAATGGACAGTCGACGCCGACTCTTTCAGTTGACATTGTCAAATGTTGAGCCCACAGATGTGGACCTCTTCATGTCAGCGTGGTCGAGGCGTCTCCCAATATCTGTGGCGCCCTTCCCTGGCTGCTGTGCCTTGTGGTGGACGCTTTTTGGCACAACTGGTCGAGGTGGGGTTACCTGTACCTCTTCCCCATGGTCCAGCTGTTGCTTCGGGTTCTGGCTTGGTTTGAATCCTATCTCATGAGTGTTCTCCCTGTAGCTTCTTGGCGGCCGGCCTAGCTGTGGTTTCAGTCGCTACTTGCTCGGTGTCCGAACCCAGTTCAGCACCTTGCTGGTTCAAACTACTCCTCCGCTTCGTGTCTGGTCTTTTTGATGTGGGTGTATCACCACTTGTGTGGTGATCAGGTGGCTTTGTTAATGGTGTCCCAGCTGTGATCAGAGTTCCATGGCTGTTCAGTACTCTCCCAGCAAGTATAAGAAATATTGCCAACACAAAGGTGAATTTCTTCAAAAAGCAATCAAATACTGTAGGTTCTTTTAAGTAGTGCCAGCTGAACTGGGTTGTACTTAATATGTGGGCCTGCAGGCCACTCCGAACACCAGCATGTTGAATCAAGCTATTACAAGTTGAGCCTGGCCTTAGACTTGGCACCTGACAGCTGAGTGGACAGCGCTTCGGATTCGTAGTCCTGAGGTTCCGGGTTCGATTTCCGGTGGAGGCGGAGACAAATGGGCAAAATGTTTCTTTCACCCTGATGCCCCTGTTACCTAGTAGTAAATAAGTACCTGGGAATTAGACAGCTGCTACAGGCTGCTTCCTGGTAGTGTGTAACAAAAAGGAGGCCTGGTCGAGAACCGGGCCGCGGGGACGCTAAGCCCCGAAATCATCTCAAGATAACCTCAAGATTGAGGAGTAGAACTCTTGGAACCCTCTCCAGGTAAGATTATTTTAATTATTTATTGGGTCTAAAGTCAGTAATCTTTATTTTTTATAGCCAAGTAGTAAGTTTACAAGAATTCATTAAAATGGCCCCAAAAAATGCATATACTTTGGTAAACAATTTTAATGTCTTAATAGTTGTCCTTTGTGTTCTTTGCAGCATTCTCACTATTACATACGTATTGCGCGCTTCATGCCACGTGTTGATATTGTACAAAAGCATGGAACTGCTGCGAGACGCCTTCATATACGAGGCCATAATGGCAGGGTTTATCCGTATCTGGTGGTGAATGACTACTCCTTAAGTGATGCTCGTCGTGAAGAACGGGTTCTACAGTTGCTTAGAATGTTAAACCATTTCTTTGCCAAACAAAAGGTTTGTCTTTTATTGAATAAAGTTTGTTTTGTTGGTCAACATTGTAAAAATAACTATTAGGTACAGAAAATGTAATTTAATATATAATGTTTTATTAAATGTAACATACAAACAGCAATATTGTGAAATGTGAATGTTGTATAAATTATGATACTATTCTTAGTTGACAAGCATAAGTATTTTTCATATCAAAATAATTTGAGTAATGGTCATTTGATGATCATGGTGATATAAATTTTCAGGAGACAAGTCGTCGGTTAGTGAATTTGAGTGTGAGCAGAGTTGTTGCTGTGTCCCCGCAAATGAGGCTAGTTGAAGACAATGTGTCGTCTCTCTCCTTGCTGGACATTTATAAACTAAGATGTGCTAAGAGGCAGCTGGAGCCTGACACACCTGTCACTAGATACTATGAGCGGCTCGCTGCAGTCCAGGTACTAACTTTCCTTCACCTTATATATATATTTATTTAAAATAATTTATTTTACTTGTACTGTATCTGAATGGTGATAAATTGCAGCATGTCAAATAAATAAGCACTATAAATTGCAACATTATGTGGTATAGTTAAAGTTTGATTATGAAGCTTCTTAATTCCTTGTGAAACAAATTAATGGGTTAAAATAACAGCTACCTGAATAGTTCGAGTAGAACAATGTTCATTTGCTGAGAGTAACGCTATTTCCTCTTGACAATGAATGAGGCTAGTACAGGCAAATTATTATTCGTCAGCTCCCTGAAGCTATCTTACTGATGAAGTGCCATAGTACTCGAGTGTCATCAGTTGCAGAGTTCTTTATTGCCTACAGGGGACCAGAGCCAGAACCTGGCCCCCCTCAGAGAGGTGCAGGGAGCAATTGCCTATGAACTCTACATTTAACACTTTCACGCTCCCGGCAGTAGCCCGTGTACTTTCCCTTTGTGCGCCGTTCGTTTCTGGCGACCGCACAGCGACACTAAAATGTTTATAATCTTTTCAGTCTGCTCACCTTAATATTCCATGTATGTATTTAAATTTGGTATCAATTTGTTCGCAAGAGAATGCTCTAGAGGAATATATATATAAAATTTTACCAAACCCGACATGAGACCCGCACCAAATCAAAATCTATGGCGATCGTTTAGCCGTGAGCGTCAAACCGCGCTGAAATGTTTATGATCTTTTCATGTTTGTCAACCCCAGAATTGTTCTACGTCGTTAATTTTGGTATCACTGTGACCGCAATAAAATTCCCTGCATGGACATATGAATATAAAATACAAATCATGGGCGCGTCCCACCTGCAAGACCGTGGGAAGTTGCCCAAGGGTTACCCGCTACCGCACGCCCAACTGCACATGCGCTACACCACTACTGAAAAGTTTATACTCTTCTCATGTATCTGACCTTCATTTTTGATGTACGTGTTTTATTTTGGTATCAATGTGTTGCCAATGAAATGTTCTATAGGAACATATGTATAACATGTCACCAAAGCTAACGTGAGGCTGGCACCAAATAAAGAACTGAGTCGTTTGTTAGCCATTCACGCCAAACAGCGTGCGTATGTTGCTACTCTGTTCAGGTTTATCAAGTCAAAACTTGCTCAACATCTTTTTTTTTTTTTTTTTTGTATCACTGTGATCGCAATAAAATTTCCTACACAGACATATCCATATAAATTATACAACATGGGCGCGCCTCACCCGCAATGACCCCCAAAGTCGACGAGGCCTTACCCGCTAGAACACACTCATTGCCACACCCGCTACACCCAATACACCAGACAAACACATACAGTTTGCTAACAGAAGTTTTTTTTTGCTACATTTTTCATTGTGGTATCAAAATATTCACAATAAAATGCTCTAAGTAGAAAGACCAATATAAGCAATATAACAATATAACAACAGTAATATATATAAGCAATACCAATAACAAAGTATAAAGACTAAAATCGGCAAAGTTACCTGTGAGCGCGCAAAATCTGTAAAATGTATATACTCGTTTGAGTTTTCTCACCTTATTTCTCGTGCTACAACATTTGTTTTGGTATCATTGTGTTTGCAATAGAATTCTCTATGGTGGTATATGCATATAATGTCTAAAAGCCCAAAGTGAGTCACATAGCAAAGCCTAAAGTGGGCCAAGTTACTCGTGAATGAGCACCAATTGGCACACCTGCAGACTAATGTATATACTCATTCAGTTTGATAACATAAATTTTCGTGCTATGTCCTTCAGTTTGGTATAAAATTGTTCACAATAAAAAGGAGCGTATTTTAAAACTAGTCCCATAATAATAGAACAATAAATAGAATTTTAACAAATATTTTAACTTACGGACACTTTTCGACGCTCATCACCACAAAATTATTTATATCTGTCCAGTGTTCTGACATCAATTTTCATGTTACATCTTTCATTTTGGTATCAAATTGTGCACAGTCTAAAGGCGCTCATTTTGAAACCACTCCTAGATTGATCGGATAAAATTTAACTTTTTAAAAAATATTTTAATGAGTGACGCCGGATGTCGTCGTCGGAGTAGAATCACGAGAAAAGTGAAGTGTTAGCCCATTAAAGTGTTAAAGTATATCATTCTTGCCATTGACCAGGGAAGACACCCAGAAATGTAGCTAAAACAAAACAGACCACTGTCTGGTTGAAAATTGCAAAATATGTCCTCAAAAGAGCAAAAGAACTCTCCCAGAAAGCAAACAAACAATCCAGATGTCATCCAACTAACCACCACTCGTTAGCCCCCTTCCCCATGGGGGGGGGGGGAGCCAGTCTGGGTGACCCAGCCCAATTCCAGTCAGTTCTTTGATGCCGTGCCAGGTGCTCGCTGTCGCTCTGGCTCCGTGTTCCTGTTTTCATTGGTTTTTTCACTCTTACGGTGGTGTTATAAACGGAGGTGTGCATGTAGTTCAGAGTTTTCCATTACTGGATCAGCATGTACCTAGGGGCGCCTTCCCTAGGTGCCTCGTAAGTACTGCCCTTGTGTGGCCAGGGTTATCTTCCCTGGGGCATTGGGGACTCACTCCCCATTAAAGGACTTCTTTGCTTGTGGTGGTCTTTCTGGGGGGAGCCCCGTCAGCTCCCCAGAGCTATACAGGCTGATATGCTAATGTCAGACTTTGGCATCAGTCATGTGTATGGAGTTCTGTGGGTCTACTGGAGACCATGAGCCAGAACCTGGCCCCCTCAGAGAGGCAAGGGAAGCAATGACCTATAGAAACCCCCATGTGGTTGGCAGCATTCTATGTCTGCCATCGACTGGGTCGGGCACCCAGAAAGGTAAGCATTCCAAAACAAACCCCTATTCTGGTTAAAATTGCTACCTAACGCTGAACTAGTGGATAGAACTCCCCAAAAAGATACGAGCAAACTAGCATGATGTCACACGTCACCGCGCCGCTGTCTGCACAGCTCCCCCCTCCCCGGGAGGGGGAAGGGGGAGCCCCAGACCCCCATGCCGAGGATCCATACCCAAGTTCTGAGGCTGGATGTCAAGAAAACGCGAAAAACGCCGTCCGGAGGGAGGGAGGGAGGGAGGGAGGGAGGGAGGGAGGGATGCCGGGGAGCCTCCAGGTCACACCCAGAAAATGGCGTTTCATTACATTTAATGATGGTTTCTGGGGGGAGCCCCGTCGGCTTCCCGGAGCTAGCCACCCGCAGAGGAAAGTAGAGGGACTCATCTGGGAGGCAATCGCTGCACGCTCCGCAACTCTAAACTGAGACAACTGGCTGCAACCGCTGACCCAAGGCAACACAGGCCCGACTAGGCCCAGGAACGAGGATGAGACAACGAGCAGCCCCAGTCTCACAAGAAAAAGCCGGGGCAGCCGGAAAAGTACTAAAGAAGGGAGCCCACTGGCAGACTCATACAACACAGCTGGAGGAACAGGCTCGAATGCCTTCGTCGCTACCCGGAAGGGAAATTCCCCGAGACCGCCCGAGTCTCAATACCATCGAAGCTCCGCCCAGACACCGAACCCACAGACGGTAAGGATCCAGATGCAGAGCAAACTAGACCACAACAGGGAAAAGACAAGGGGGTATGGAAGGAAACAAAACCGAAGCAACCCACACCCCCAAGCCCCATCACACCAACCAAAACGGGCAGCCTCGGGGCTTCCGGGAAGCAAACAACCTAGTGCGTTGCCGCCACCTAAACTCAATGTGCAATGCCCGTACTGCCTGTACCCGCATAGTCAGCATAAGACTGGATACTGTACAAGCAACTCAGGCAGGGTACTGCTAACCAGCGCCCAAGTCTACCAAACAACTTTCTAAGAACTGAACCCCTGAGACGTGTACACTCACAGAGACCTAGCAGGGGGAACCACCGGAAAAAGGAAGAGTACTCAGTACGCAGGGGGCAAGAACCAAGGCAGACCCCCCCACCAGGCAGACAAACAAAAAGAAAAAGAAAACCCCGCAAGAGGACAGCGTGCCCAGGCAGAAGAGAGCTGGTCGCTATGATTGGTGAAAACAAGCTGTGCACCCTGCCAGTGCAAACTGCCACTTACCCTAAGGTGAACAAGGGAGACAGAACATCCTCGCACACAAAGGGCGGCCGAAAACCAAGCAGTAAACGGCCTAGCAGAGGCAGAACCCAAGGAATTTGTGGAAGGTGGCCCCAAGCCCCAAGGGCAGTACTTACTGGGCACCTAGGGAAGGAAACCCTAGGCGTATGCAGCCCGAGTCCTGGGGAAACACTCCCGGCTCACGCACCACCTTGAAGACAGTCAACTCACACTAGGTACAGTGCTAAACAACCACTGGAGCTGATGCACACGACCGTTGCCTATAGCATCAGCCGCAGAACTAACGGGTGGATGGCCGGCGCGGGGGTCTGGGGCTCCCCGTTCCCCCTCCCGGGGAGGGGGGAGCTGTGCAGACAACGGCGCGGTGACGTGTGACTTCATGCTCGTTTGCTCGTTTCTTTTTGGGGAGTTCTATCCACTTGTTCGGCTTTTTGTAGCAATTTTCACCAGAATAGGGGGTTTATTTTGCTTACCTTACTGGGTGCCTGACCTGGTCAATGGCAGACAGAATGCTTCTAACCACACGGGGGGTTTCTATAGGCCATTGCTCCCCATGCCTCTCTGAGGGGGCCAGGTTGTGGCTCATGGTCCCCGGTAGGCCCACAGAACTCCATACACATGACTGATGTCAAAGTCTGACATGAGCATATCAGCCTGGAAAGCTCTAGGGAGCCTCCGGGTCTCACCCAGAAAATGGTGTTTCATTACCTTCAACGCTGTTTTTTTGCAATTCTTGAATATCATGATGAGTCTGTGTCTGGTGCATAGTATGTTGATTATGGCTACTTCATAGTTGAAATGGGGATAACATTCGTGTAGGATAACGTATAGGATAACATACGATATATGTTGACCAAACCCATATATCTGATATATGGTTTGATGGTGGTGTCACATTCATAAAGAATTCTTTTCGATCATTGATCTGCAATGTGTTAAGGGGTTCACTGAAAACAAAATCATTCTGTACCCTTTAATATTTCACTCATTTCTTTTCTGTCATCTGTGAAGGTTCTGTCACTCTTGCACAAGGTTGACACAACACAGCATCTACACATGGTTGCTATGTTTGTACTGAGGCCCTCACACCCATGATTTTTTCAAGATGGTGTCTGTTTACTGGAGACCCTTGGAAGAGGATTAAACTCGCCCCATGTACCTACGGGAGTTTCAAATCTTATGTTAGACCTAAAAGCACCTCTGGTTGCTGTGAGCACCACCGACAAAGCAACCTTATTCGCTGTGTGCAGCTGAAGGGTAAAATCATCCCCAGGCAGTTTGAGCAGATGTGCCAATCGCTCTCAAGGGATTGGACCAGTGTAAGGGTGTAATACCTCTGTATACTACTGTATAGTGTGTGTCAAATTAATTCTAATACTTTGGAAATTTTCAGGCACGTGGGTCTCAAGCATCTCACCAGGTGTTGAGGGACATTGTAAAGGAGGTGCAAAATGCCATGGTTCCAAGAACAATGCTGCGAGACTGGGCATTAACTACCTACCCTAATCCTACCCATTACTGGACCTTCAGGAAAATAGTAAGTTAATATTTGTTCATGTGTACATACATTTTCATTGCTCCATTCCCACTTTCATGGAGTGGGGAAGCATCATCCTAGGTAAGTAAGGGGGGGAAAATAAACTAGTAAAAGGTTAGATATTACAGATATAAAAGTAAAATACAGTATGTCTCATCTATTCATTATATCATTCACAATATATAACAATGGATGAACAAGCACCACCATACTTCAGCAGTCATCCTTGGCAGCAACCTATCATTTCATGAGACCAGGTGCAGAGTGCTCCTTTTGGATTAGCATATAGTGTATAACAATTTTGTACTGTATATTCCCTCTTCTTAAAAACTTTTTCACCCAGTTTTGTTCCTTACCATATCCTGTATATTGTTTGTGCTTCTCGCCTCCTCACACACACACACTATACCAGCCTACCTTCCTCTTTTACGCTCAATTTCACTTTAATACAATCTCTTCAGTCTACTATCAATCAATTTTTCAATGTACCTAAATCTATGACCTCTTGTTCTTGAAGTTCCAGGTCTCAGGAAACCACCTCTCATCCAATTATTTCACTTCCTCTTGCACATTTGTTTTATCTCACCTATTTTTCAAATACACTACACCTTTATGTTTCCTGGGACACCACTTATGGTCATCAACCTGTTCCATAATACTGTACTGTACTTAGGAATTTGAAATATCTTGGAGCTCCTCTGATGCAGATGTTGACTCTGGTTGTAACCCCTTCCCAAAGTATGTGACTGCGTGTACATGTGTGGTCCAGTGTTTTTTGCAATTAGGGATGGTTAAAGAAACAATGCCACAGTGGAAAAGTGCATAATAGTGTATGAATGTCTGGCAAACACCCTGAAACGAAAAGTTAAAGAAACAAAACAGAAATAGTGTTTTTCGAAGGAAATAGTGCAGAAGCTTATGGTGAGAGTGACCAATATGAGAGGGTGATGGCAGGTAGTGACCTAAGACAGTGGCAGTGAGGTCGCCACGAACCTACCACCTAAGATTTTACTATGTGGGAAAACCAGCCATAACATTTAAGACCACAACACTTGAACCCACTACTAAAGCTATCGCCAACACCATCTAACTCCACTGCCTTCACCATTGTCACCAAGCACGTACCATTATTTAGGAATATTAACTAAATATGTCTACAGTAAAGATTTGCACAGAATGTAGCCAATCCCAAATTCTAGAGGAAGAGAATTCAGCTAATTTAATTTTAATAATAAAAAGATTAACTGGGAACAAATAAACAGATTTCACTCACAGATACAAGCTGGGAAGAACAGTTAGAAAATGCAAACCTATACCAGTGCCCCAAGAAAATAAGCTTAGTAGTAGAGGTATTAGAAATATGCTCAAACTGCATACCAGGGCACTGACCACGGAGGCATCAGCACCGCAGGTATCAAATTGAAGGGGAGATCGACCTCCATGGCACATAACCCAAGCAACATAAGGCTGTAGACAACTAGGGATGTTAACAAGATACTTGGCAGCCAAGACTGTGTTTGACCTCCAAAACCCCTGCCAAAACCCACTCCAGGTATGATCCCGGTTATCCTCCCTCCCAACCAATTGCATCAGTTGGTCTTGTCTTGGGCTCTGAACTGATCATTGTTGACGTGAGGACTTGGCAGCTCTCACGATGCTGCCATCTGGTGGTGGCCAGCAGTAACTAAGAGGCAAACATGGGTAACTAGGCTCCTAACCACTGGGTGGATTGTTTGTCAAGTAGTTTCCTGCACTAGTTGTTTACTTATGTTTGTAAACTTTGTAATTGGCTTCCTTTCTAGGGTCTGTCTTTTCAGTGAAGGTGATCATGAATCCTTTGAGCCTCTGAGGGGGACAGGGTTTTGGCCTCTGTCTCCGGTAGGCTATTAAGGACTCATGACTGATGTAACTTTGTACCCTGGAAACAAAAACCGAAACTGTCTCTATATTCCGCTTGTTACAACTTGTAATAAAGTTGTTACATCTTGGCTTAACGTGTTTATGACGTATTAGAATGTTGCTACAACTTGCTATATTGGTTGTTATAACTGGTTAGGTGTTAAAACTTGTTCGAACGTTGTACCAACGTCGTAGTTTCTGTGTGTGTTTGGCGGGTATGTGTGGAGAAATTTCAATTTCAGTGCATCTGGCAAAAGGGAGCCACCTAGGACAACCCCCCCCCCCCACATTGCCAGGAAGAGACATTTCATTATATTCAATGCTGTAATTAGTTTTTGTTTTTTTTAGATTTTACACAATTAGCTGTTATATTGTACAGTATTTGTAAATCATTTTTAATTTTTTACAGCTCACTGTGCAGCTTGCTCTTATTGGTTTAATGGAGTATTTGTTACATCTGACAAAGCTCTATCCAGACATGATGTACGTTCATCAAGACTCGGGACTTATCAATATTGCATATTTCAAATTCGGCATGGATGATGCAAAAGGTTTGTTCAGTATTAATATTTTTCATAACGTGTGTATAAAAATGTTATATGTATAATACATGTATGTTCAGTAATGTTGGATGACACTTTTGTTGAGTATAGATGGTATTAATATTATGCTAAAAAGTCTGTTTAATTTGAATGATTTTAGTAATTAGCATTGCTAATCAATATTCTCAGGTGAACTGGATGTCAACCGTCCTGTACCATTTAGATTGACACCAAACCTGGCTGAGCTCGTAACTAGTATTGGAGTATCTGGACCATTCACTGCATCTATGGTTGCTACTGCACGATGCTTAGCTACTCCATCTTTCAAAGTTAATGCACTTCTTCGAGCTATAATGCGTGACGAAATTATAACGTGGCATAAGGTAAGTCTGGGCTTTGATGCTTATGAATTCTTCATGCTGTTGCCTTTGTTTTGTTTTTTTCTGCTGGGGAGCCCCTTCAGCTCCCCGGAGCCCCTTGAGCTCCCCGGAGCCCCTTGAGCTCCCCGGAGCCCCTTCAGCTCCCCGGAGCCCCTTCAGCTCCCCGGAGCCCCTTCAGCTCCCCGGAGCCCCTTCAGCTCCCCGGAGCCCCTTCAGCTCCCCGGAGCCCCTTCAGCTCCCCGGAGCCCCTTCAGCTCCCCGGAGCCCCTTCAGCTCCCCGGAGCCCCTTCAGCTCCCCGGAGCCCCTTCAGCTCCCCGGAGCCCCTTCAGCTCCCCGGAGCCCCTTCAGCTCCCCGGAGCTATCCAGGCTGACATCATTAGACTTTGGCATCAGTCACTGTGAATGGAGGTCTAGGCCTACCAGGGCCCACGAGCCAGAACCTGGCCCCCTCAGAGAGACATGAGGAGCAATGGCCTACAGAAATGCACATGTGATTTGGAGCATTCTGCCTGCCATCGACCAGGCCAGGCACCTAAAAAGGTATGTGCTTCAAAACAAACCCCTATTCTGGTTAAAATGACTAAAATAGACAAACAAGTAGATAGAACTCCCCAAATGAAAACGAACAAACTAGCATGACGTCACACGAGCCACGCTGCATGTCTGCACAACTATCCCCTCCCCGGGAGGGGAAAGGGGGAGCCCCAGACCCCAGCGACTGCACTCTACCCTGCAGTTCTGTGTGATGTGATTGTAGCTCATTCGTGTGGCTCCAGCTCCAGATTCTCCCTGTGTTGTGCTGTGCCTTGTGTCCAGTACTACTCTTACGTTGGCGTGTGAGCTGGGAGTAATATTCACAGGTACTTGGGCTGCATGTGCTTCCCCAGGAGGGGGAAGGGGGAGCCCCAGACCCCCGCACCGGCTATCCACCGTCAGTTCTAAGGCTGATGAGGTCGTGTGCTCTGGTGGTTGTTTCTGCACTGTAACTAGTGTGTGGTGACTGTCTTTTAGGTGGTGAGGCCACCTCCAGTACTCTCCAGTACTCGGGCTGCATGTGCCTAGGGTTTCCTTCCCTAGGTGCCCTGTAAGTGCTGCCCTTGGGGCATGAGGCCACTTTTCACAAGTTCCTTGGGTTCTGCCTCTGCTAGGCCATTTACTGCTTGCTTTTCGGCTGCCCTTTGTGTGCTAGGGTGTTCTGTCTCCCTTGTTCGCATTAGGGTAGGATTCAGTTTGCACTGGTAGGGGCGCAGGGTACTGTGAAGCTTGTTTTCACCAATCATAGCGGCCGGCTCTGTTCCACCGACCGGCCCTCGTGTCCTGCGCATGCGCTGTGGGAGTTTGTTTTGGTCTGGGCGGTGTGCACAGGTGTGTGCATCTGCTTCTCTAGGGTGCTTCGCCTCTTGCTCTTCTCCATTCTCCAATCTGTGCCCTGTAGCTACTGGGGGGGTGTTCTGGATTGCAGCTATGGGAAGGACACCGGGGTTTTCCCTGTGTTATGGGTGTGGGGTGCCTCCTTTGCCTCTACCCTGCTCTTCTGCATGTGTGGCTCTGGCCTTCTTCTCCTGGCGGTGCTCCTGAACTCTTCTCGGTTATGTTGTTTCGTGACATGTTCGTGCCTACGTTCTGCAGGTGAGTTTCTGCGGTCTGGCGTATCTTTCAGCCAGGCACTGGTTCGTGGTTTTCAGATGAGAATCTAAGGCCATCAGCACACAGGTGATTGCAGAGGGCCTGTTGGCCCATACGTGACAGCTCCTTTTTATCCAGTCCCACTCATATGCATGTCCAACCCATGATTGAGTCAATCACGGGGCCCCACCTCATCCATGCTACGAGGTACAATGGTGGAGGTGCAGGTTATGATGTAAATGTTACTGTGTCAGGATGTTCTGAGGTGACATTTTGCTGCAGTTTTGTGATTGGGGAAGCATGTTGGGGTTTGCTTGTGGCGTTTTGTTTGGCCCTTGCGTGCTTTTTCCTGGGGCCTTCCTTGTGTGTGTATTATTTGTTACGCGGGGGATCACGGACCCATTTTTCGTTGTCTTGGGTCCCTCATTCCTTGCCCGTCTTGCAGTGCTTAGCTTAATCCTTCCATGCACATTGGATTCTCTGTACTCACCTAGTTGTCCTCACCTAGTTGTGCTTGCTGGGGTTGAGCTTTGGCTCTTTGGTCCTGCCTCTCCCCTGTCACTCACCTGACATCTACGTGGCCTCTACTTACCTAGTTGTACTTGCCTTGTTGTGTTTACGGGGGTTGTGCTCTGGCTTTTTGGTACTACCTCTCACCTGTCATTTTACTAGTGCACGGATTTCTGAGCCTCCTGGGCTCTGTCTTGTCTTCACTTGCGGCTGTATGTGGGGTCAGCCTCCACCACTTCCCTTCCTCCTGCATTCCATTTGTCTACTACTCTGACACTGGAATGCTTCTTTTTTAGGTTTCTATGGCTCCTTTAGGCACTCAATTCCACCTGTGTCTCCTGGTGTGTGTACCCCTTGTGTTCCATAGTCTGTCTTTCTCTACCCCTTCCTTTCCTCTGAGGGTCTTGAATGTGGTGGTTCTGTCCCCTCTAGCTCTTCCGTCTCCCAGTGGCGTGTGGCTTCATTCCCGTAGTCTCTCCTCGTTGCTCGGACCCCTCGGTTCGGGTACTAGTCTGGTGGCATACCTTTGCACCTTTTTCGGTTTTCTTTGTTGGAACAGGACCTACACCTGTGTGTTGTTAGCGTGCTTTGTTGGGACATGGCCTGCAGCTCTGCGTGTTGGTCGTGTCCCTTTCGTTCCCGTTTGCTGCCTTCCTGCTTCACTCTTGTCCCTAGCCGCTGGTGCTGAGGCTGTTCTTCTGGTCTTTTCTCGTTTTATCCTACACACGGTTGTGTGTTTTGTTTGTGCCTTTTGGCCCTTTTGCCCCTTTTGCCAGGTTTGGGTTTCTGTTTTCCTGGCTTACCCTGCCTGTTGGCGTTTTCAGGGTTTCGCAGCGTCCCTTCTCTGGCGTCTCGTGTCAGACCCGTAGTCTCCGATCTCCTGGCGAGCTCGCTGGCATTGGGAAGTTTTCTGTTCGGCAGACATTCCGTCTCCTTCTTTGCCGGCTTGGGTTTCTGGCTCTGCTTGCTCAGTGGTCGCACCCGAGATCTTCCCATGGCCCTGCCTCTTCCTAGGCTCAATTGGTCCATAGCAGGGCTGGTTCGGTCCTGCTTAGTCTCTCACCTTCAGTTGATGTTCATGTGGCTTCGTTGATGGTGTCCCATCTGCGTTCTGCTTCTTGGCGGCGGTGTGGGGTTTTTTGGCGGTCCCTCCTTTTCCTTCTGTCCCTTCTTAGGAGGCTGCGTTTTGTTGGCGTTGGCTTGTCCTTCTCTTATAGAGGTTCGGGGCCGTCATCTTGCCACATACTGTCGCCTCGTATTCTGCGGCGCTGTCGGAGCTGCTTCAGCTTGCTTTCGGTGTTGTTGTAACTTCTGCATCGTTTAGCAAGCTGTCTCATGCCTTGTTCCCCTCCGGCCTGCTCATGCGCCTCCTGAGCCGTCCTGGTCATTGGACCGGGTGCTCTTTTCTCTCTTCTCCTCGGTTTGTTGTGGCCCCTTTTCTCTCTTTTCTTCAGGTTTGTTTCTCGAAGGCTCTTTTTCCTGTTGACCTTAGCCTCTGGGGTTCAAGTTGGTGAGTTTCATGCTCGCCTCCAGCGCAGGGGTTTCTGCTCCTTTGGTCATGGCGATAAGTTTATTCGTCTGCAGCCGTCTCCTTTCCTGGCAGAGGAGGCTGCAGCTTTCCGGAAGGGTCCTTGGGTTGTTGATGCTTGGTTAGGCCGGGGGTGCATCATTTTTGTCCGGTTGCGACCCTCCGCCATTATTTGCGCGCCACGACTTCTGTGTCCGGAGGCACGCTTTGGGTTGCTCCGGTTTCCAGCTAGTTTTCCAGCTGTGCTAGTTGCACAGCTAGTTTTCACCTATAACGGCAGCCGGCTCTGTTCCTCCAGCGTTCTTTTCATTTTTGTTTTTGCCTGGTGGAGGGAAGGGGTCTGCCTTTGTGTCCCTTGCCCCCTGTTATATTAGGGTCTTGACCTCCGGTGTTCGTTGGTACACCCTGCTTGGCCCCCCCCCCCCCGGTGAGTGGACACATCCAGAGGGTTCAGTTTTTAGATGTTTGTTTGGTATACTTGGGCGCCGGTTACAGTACCCTGCCTGGGCTTACCCTTAGAGATACCAGTCTAAGAGCCCTGGAAATCCCTGCAGGGACACACAGGGTCTAATGGATGCGACCCCTGGGTCCCCTCTCACTTTCTGCGAGTTTGAGGGTTGCTCTGTCCCCCTTGTCTCAGGGCAATGCTCATTGTTATTGCCTCTGTGACTCAATTCACCCAATCTCCTTATGACATTATTCAGGTGAAGGCGGCTCAGGCGTTGTATGCTAGGTTACTCATAGGTTGCTGCAACGTGCTAGGTTGGTTGCTTCCCTGGGTGCCATGAGGCTGCCCTGCTTTGCTTATAGGGACCCGGACTTGGAGGTGTTGGTTGCTTAGGCCTTGGTCTGTCCGTGCCCCTTCGTTCTTCCCCTCCTGTGGCTCCTTCTATCATTCCCCTTCTTGCTTCCAGCTCCAAAGCATCTGAGGGCTTTGGAGTCGGGGCAGGGTTTAGAGGTTTCTGAGACTCGGGCAGTTTCGGGGGCTACCCTTCTGGGGTCACGGCGAAGGCATTCAAGTCCATTTCTCCTGCCGTAGCACCGGGGTCTGACCAGTGGGCCCCTTCTCTTCCTGCCTTTCCGGCTGCCCCGGCTTTTTCTTGTGACTCGCCTCCGGGGCCTTATGTGGAGATTCCCGGCGTTGGGGAAGAGCTGATTTGGGGGACTTTTCCTTAACCCCCTTTGGGTACGAGTTGGATTTGGGTTCAGCTCCTCCTCGGGTTCGGTTCCATATCCCTGCGGGTCCTTCAGCTCCATCCTTCCAGAGGTTTTCGGCTTCCTGCATCACGCCTATTAAGGTACGGGCGGCCATTGTATTCACCTAGTTGTGTTTTTGCG